AGACAAGTAATGACTACAGCATCTTTACTATGCTGATGGACAGTGACTGCAATGGGGTGTGTGGGGGGGACTTGATAATATGGGTGAATGTTGCAACCATAATGTTTCTCATGTGAAACCTCCATAAGATTGTATCTCAATGATACCTTAATAAAAAAAACCCCAAAGCTTAATTTAATTGATCACCAACTGGTGAATTAAAGAAACTGGTACAAACAATGAACTTACTACTCCGCAGTGAAAAGGAATGAACTACTGATACACACACAAACATGAATAAATCTCAAATATTATGCTAAGTGCAAGATGACAGATCCAAGAATATATATACTCTTTGCCTCCATTTATATTAACATTCTGTAAAAGGTTAAACAACAGGGGAAGATAACAGATCAGTGGTGCCAGGGGCTGGGGGAAGGGAGAAAGGAATGACTGTAAAGAGTCACAAGAGACCTTTTCTGGCAATGGAAATGTTCTATATCTTGACAGTGATGGTGGTTACATGCTACCCATTTGTCAAAATTCATCAACCCATACACTTAAAAATAGTGACTGTTTATTTCATGAATCCTGACTTTAATAAAGAGCTGCTCAACAGACTGAACTCCCCATTCATTCTTATACCTTCACCACTCAACTGGCAAGAGTCTTAATACTTAGCAGTTCAGTAACTGTAGGTAAATAATATGGTATATGCTAGACAGGTAACACTAGCACATGGGCAGTACACTGTGAAACACACTACTTCCAGAACATGCCAATACCAGAGTTAAAAATGGAACAGGGTAGGGTGAATTAATGTAATGATGTTACAAACCTGTAATTCTAACAATCAAAAAATCAATCTTAACCACATTCCATGAGAATAAAAGGCACACTCCATACCCTACATTGCTTTTAAACAAAATTTAGTGATTTCTAAAGACACAGAAAAACATTACATCAGAATTCAGCAAATTCAACAGAGAACATGGTCAAGACCCATTTGGTGTAAATCCTTCATTTATTATGACGAATCTGCTATGACTGTTTTTGGCTTCAGTTGACTTAGGAAGTTTGGAGCTCCAGCTCTGGTTCAATGTAAGGCTTTGCTTCTCTGAATGAAAGTCAATAATCAAAGATAATGCTCACAGTTTTGCCTGCTGTACTCCACAGGGCAGTCAAAGAACAAGAAAACGGTCAAGTCAGAAATGGGTTCTTCAAATGTCTATAAATAAATAAGTTCACTGACTCACCTAGTCTATGATAGTATATTACTCTTTATGTAATTTTCTAATCCATCTCAGGTAAAGGAACACACACAACTGTACTACTTACCACATTAAGGAGCATTAAATGCCATACATTGCACCACAGGGATGCTTTAGACTAAGGTTTATATAAACAGAGCCAATCACCTGATAGTCATCCAGCAAACATGTGGTATTTTGAAGATTAAAGTGAAGGCACGTGACACCAGAGGCCACAAAGTCTCAGGACGTTACTGAAGGCATGAAAACAGGCAGAGCAAGGAAGCTTTTCCTAAGTGATGGCATTTTCTTGCCAGGAATTACCTCATAACATTTAATAATGAAAGGCCAGTGAAGTTTCTTTGCGAGTTATTCGTTAGGTGTTTTACAAAAGATGAACTCACAGCTGCAGCGAACAGTTCTGTTCCGATTCCAGAGCTGGAGAAGAGCTCAGAAAGCACTTGGACAGAGTTGACATTTCTCCAGGGGACTTTCTACAAGTTGTCATTCCCCCAAAATGCTGCTCCTGGCCTTTTCTGAAGGATCATATGAACAAAATCAAAAGTTCCTTTGACAGGATCACAAGATGGAGTGAGTGAAGGATGTGAGGGACCTGTGAGCTCAATTTAGGAAGGAGAAACGCTGGGCCAGAGCGGGTATCCCTCCGCGGAGCGGTGAGCGGCAGGGCAGCTTCCCATCTTCCTCTCGGGGAAGCTCTGACTCCTTCAGAACAGGCTGGTGCGGAAACGACGCGAGTCCTTAATGCGCCACCAGGTTCTCTGCCCGACAGCGCTGGAGCTCCGTCCAGGGGGCCGCAGGTCCTCGGGCCCTAGTTTCAATGGCCGTCAACTAAGCTTGGTTCCAGACAATCTAAAGAACGAGGCACGGAGGGCAGTCCGCTCGCCCGTCACTTACTTGTAATCAGCACTACCGACAGGTTTCCCACCTGACAGCCTCGCAAGAACTGCCCGTCCGATTTAAACGTTTGCCTAAAATAAGCACTAGGCGCGGAAGAGGCCCGACACACGCGGCTACCCCGCGCCGCACCGCAGCCTCTCGGGCACCGGTGGCGGGGCACGGAGGCCCTTCCCGGCCTTCGCCAGCCGCGGGAGGGCCCCCTTCTCCAGGAAACGGTCCGCCCGGGCTGCCTCGCGGCGCCGACGGCCTGCCCACTATCTCCAGGGCGCTCCCGGCTGGGCCCCCCACCCTGCAAAGGCTGCGGTCGTGCTCCCGGCGGCAGCGGGAGGGCAGCCGGCCCGGCAAATCAACGAGAACGCCCAGGTTACTTACGTTCTCAGTGTCTCGTTCATTCACCGTTGGCAGTGGGGTCCGAGTGGACATTTTACTTCACTTTTGCACAATGTGAAGGTGAAACAAAACAGCACGGCCCTTGGGGCCGGCGACGGCGACCTCGAGTGCCCGGCGGTTCTGGAGCGAGGCCGCCGGCGGGCGGCGCCCCTCCCCCACGGCCGTCTAGATCCCGGGCTGGGCCCGGGCCGTCCCCCGGCGGGTCCCGGGGCTCATGCTCCCCAGGCCCCGGCGGCCGCGCCGAGGAGCCCCGCGGGCAGCGGTGGCGGGGCCGGGCCGGCGGCGGCGGCGTGCTGCGGGTCGGCCCGCCGGCGCGCCCGCGCCTCAGGGTGCCCCCCGGTCCCGGACCCCTAGCCTGGTCCGCCGCCCTCGCCCGTCACGCCAGGGTTTTCAGCGCCGGGGCCTCCACACAGCGCCGCCGGCGGCCCCCGAAGAAGACGAGGATGTAGAGAAGGTGAAGTGCAAGACAGGCCGCTGCGGGCTGCGGGCACCGACCATGGAGGGAGCTGCGGAGGCGGCGCCTGCGCCCGGCTGCTCCTATCCCTCCGGCTTGTTTTCCGCCTCAGCCTCCACCCAGTGGCCGCGCCGCCGCTCCGGGTACCTCAGAGCCTCACGGACCCAAGATGGCCGCCCCTCGGCTTCCTCCGCTGCCTCCGGATGCCGGAAGTGACGGCTCCGCCGCTACCCAGAGGTCGGCCAATCAGCGCGGCTCCTGGAAGTCGGCCCCTCTGCTGTTGCTAGGGGCGACTTGGCCTTGTCCCGCGCAGAGGGAGCGGCGCTCAAGGCCCACATATAGTGGCGGGTGTCTGCGGAAGAAGAGGGTTGGCGGTCAGCGCCTGGAGCACGCGAACACCCCGCTAACAGTGGGAAAATGGCCCTGGGCGGCGGCCTGAACCCAGTGTTGATGGAGCACTTACTGCGCAAGAACCGAGGTCGCTCCCAGGGACCGCGAGGCATCGAATAGAACCGCTGCAGCAATTATACGGCCGGAACTGCGGAGAGGAGCCGGGCTTCCGCATCATCAGCCCAGGAATCGAGGACTTAGTCACCGTTCCTGCCTCCAGCTCTGGGCAGCCGGGGGCTAGGCTTGGCTTCGCGGAGGCAGCAGACGCGTCCTGCCCGCTAGGAGCTCACGGTCAGGAGGGACATGGATCCAGACTCAGCTTAATGCCATCGGGAAGGAAGAGAGCTTTAAGGGGTTTGGGGTGGGGGAGTGGGGCTGAGGCAAAGCCCTAGAACCCCTAGGGCTCAGTTTTAAATGCACATAGGGGATTTATAAAACCAGGCTCTTCTACGCCAGAGTGTAGCTGCTGAGGGGCTGGAAGCATCCCAGGGGCCCAGCGCAGTGATGCTTGCAGACTGGAACACTAGAAGTGCTACCTCCCCTGGAAGCCTTCCTTTCCCATTGCATGTGTCCCGTGGTCCTCCCGGTAGCCTAACCAGCCGTGAATGGAATCCACTGGGTCAGGGTTCTGAGGAATGAGAGTGATATGGGCAGGAAAAACAGGAACTGTTATTTAAGTCTACCTTGTGGGTACATACATTGTTACCACATTTAAGCCTCAGGTAATCCTATAAAATGGGCGACACACCTTGCCATCTAAAATCTAAGCAGGTTACAGTGACTTGATCAAAGTACTCAAGTTGATCAGTTGCAGAGCTGGGATTTGAATCCATATCCTAAGACTCCCATAACAGATAAGCCCTTGTAGTGGGTAAGCCTTGCTTTTCTTTTTCTATTTTTATTTTTTTCCCTTTTGTTTCCCAGCATTTGACCTGTCTTTCTATGTCTGGGACATTTCCTGCTCTGTGAGATATATATGTCTTTAAACACCAGAATCATTCCCAGATAAGACAGATGCCCCCAACGTAAAAATATGTGAAGACTAAGATGCAATAAGGGCTCCCATTTCACCCTCTCAAGCGAGTGCTCACTCAGCCAAGGGCAGCCCTCTATAAAAACTATTCTCTTTCTGCCTCTTTGTCCAGGCAGAGATGGTAGAATTCTCATCAGATAAATATGTGATTCATACAGTTCAACTGAAATATGGGTGAACTCAAGATTGTGGGAGCCTCAGCAAGGACATTTAGTTCAAACTGGGGGATTGGGTCAGGGAAGCCCCTGGGAGAGAGATAGGTGGAAAAGCATTCCGAGAAGAAGGACAGCCTGTATAGGGGCACAGAGATGAAGAACGTCATGGTGAGTTTGGGTAAATTTCAAGAGAATTAGACACAGAAGCCAGACCAGGCTTGGACACAGCATGGTATCCTGATGACAGGAGTGTCAACTAGATAAGCTAGGAAAACACCCAGAGGGTTGTTTCAGCCTTGGGTGGGAGCTGAGAGAAATGGTTTAGACAATTTGGAAGATTCCACATTGGCCACAGAAATAGCTGGGGGGTGAGATTTCTGCCTAGATGGTTTTCTCAGTTTTAAGCCATACCTTAAATAATGAGTCAAATGAATGCCCAAAGGTAGGAAATGAAGCTGACACTGCTTAACTCAGGATGCTTCTGGTTTCATAAAGGCTAGAATTAAAGAAACACTTTGACCTTTTCATTGCATTAATGTCAGGTGACACCATGGTACTATAAGGAGCTGGAAATGGGAGGCAAGGTATGTGTATTACATGCAAAAAAAGAAAGAGGAGGGGGAGGAAATGGAGGAGAAAGAGAAAGTAAAAGATGGAAAAAAATGAAGAGGCAAATCATTCTGTATTTCCCTCCATGACCATGAATTTTGTCATCTGTGGCTCTGTGGCCTGGAAGAAATGGAAGGGCAAGAGCTGGAAGTCATTCTTGGAGTGCCTCCTATCCTTTTCATATTGTTTCCTATCTTCTTATTAAAATAGGTTCTATCTCAGTCTTCTTACTGAAAAACATACCTAAAAACACCAAGCTGTGCATATGTGTAAGCAGTGCTTACTTTTATGTCAACAGGCAAGGTCATCCTGGACATCAGAACCTGAAGGCAATCTAGTCCTACCCTTGGTGCCGGAGCAAGAAGAGGAACTGAGCCTCAGAGAGGTGAACAGCTAGTTAGAGCAGAGCCAGAATGGGGCCCAGCTCTTCCAAGCCCCAGATCCTTGCTCCACAGCTAGTGAGCTAGTGAGCACATGGTGGGGAGCTCTGTTCAACACCACTCCACCCCAGTACCAGCAAGAAAGAATCTCTGAGTACTGGTACTGGCCTGAGACTGCTGTCCTCCACACTTCTCTTGCAAGAAAAATAAGCCACCCATTTGCTGAAGCCATGACAGTCTGGATTGTCTGTTACTTGCAGCCCAGTACATTCCTAACCAATGCCATCATGTCAAATGGTCAGATTTTCCTGCCTTCCGGGCCTGTGTTCTCTCTACTATGGCTAGTTGAACAAGAGTGGACAGGCCTGCTTCAGCTGGCCAACACACCACAGTGCTGAGAAGCACAACCCTCCTGCAAGAGAGTGTGGGAACTGCTGGGACCCACGAGCCATTCCTCAGTGTGTGTGTTTGTGTGTGTGTGTGTGTGAGAGAGAGAGAGAGCTGACAGGTTGCTGAACACTGAAAAAGCCACAGAGACTGAGAAGAGAAGGGGTGTGATGATTGTGGGACACCTTGGGGCCACTACTGCAAGCAGGGTGAAAGGAGGGGATGGGCCAAGTATGTCCCCAAGTAGACCACAGGTGCTTGGGGGCTCCAGGAAATCTCAAGTCCATCTCAGGCTCTGCCCTCCAGGCTGCTCCCCAACATTTAGGAGGTCAGAACAAGGCATGCTGCTATTCTTTTAATTTACTACTCTGGTCCCTTTACCCTATGCAACCATTGCTACCCTGTGTGACGGGCCAACAGGCTCCTTAGGAATCTCATGTCCAGGACTTTGTTCCTGCCATTCCCCTGCCTGGAAGGCTTCCCTGTCTACCTGAATCCTTATTACACAGCCCTGTCAGCTTGCTTCTTCCGTGGGGCCTTCCCAGACTAGCCCCTAGTGAGCTACCCCCCATTCCCAGAATCCTTGGTTTTTCCTGCCTGAGGATATATACATTTCTTGAGCACCAGCCGTGCACCTGGTACCTATGGTAAGATCACTAACTTCCAATAGCCCAGTGAGAGGGATCAACGCACATGGGCTCAGAACAGGGCTGCAACTTGTCCACTGACCAAGAGGAAAGCCAGGATTGGATTCCAAAGCTGCTCTCTGCCCACCAGGTGTCTAATGGCAGTGGGTCCCTTTCGTTCTGGATAGGCAGAGGCCTTGTGCTGCCTCCTTGGGCTTGGCTCATGGAGGGCCCAGTCAGAAACTCAGCACAGACCTGTGAGTGGCTGCCTTTTTCCCTTCCACAGGACTTCATCCTTTCAGGATATTTATGGATGGACTGTGTCCTTCCTAAACACACTATTCTAAAAAATTAACTTTTATCAATTGTTCATAGGTACCTTTTTATCAGTCCCCATAAGGCCCTGAAATATTGGGATGGCCTTGGATGAGATGGGAAGGGCCATTTGCCCCTACACCTAATGGCCCCATGCCATCCAAGTGTTCTTTTCTCTGATCTGCTAGAGATTGTAGACCTAGACCTAGATGTAAATGTACATGACCTTCTGCTGGGTGTCATTACTAGATCCTGACAGTTTAACTCTCTGGCAGTCCCTCTTCTCCTGTCCGCTCTGCTCTGAGCTGGAGAAGCCCTCTGCTTGAACCTGTACCCAAAGTTCTATGGAGACAACAGTGGTGGTAGAGAAGTAAGGGCTCTGGAGTTTGAACTTTATGACCCTGAATGCTGTGGGATCTTGAGCAAATCACTTCATGTCTTTGAGGCTCAGTTTCTTAAATGGGAATAATGGTGCCTTTCTCTCACAGATGCTGTGGGGATCCATGGAGATAATGCCCAGGGAGCGGCCAGCACACATGTGCAGAGTTCACCCTTTCACAGGAGAAAGGGCTTGCTTTCCCAGGCAGCTCTACTTTTCATTTCTTCCCTGGGATGAGCACTGGACTTGGAGTCTGGACACAGAGGTCAAAGCTTATTAAGCCACATAGGACCAGGAGTTGGAGAATCACTCCTTCCAGGTTTCCTCATCAAATTTCACCTATCTCACTGGGTATTAAGCTCATTAGAGGAGGTAACGGATGCAAAAGTGCTTGGTAAGGGGTTCTGCAATACAGGATGAGGAGTGAGTGTTTGTATTATTGCCTCTATCTTGCACACAAGGACATGGAGACTCAGGAATGGCAATAGGCTCGCT